AGAAATTCAGGTGGCCATTGTAGACAGCTGGCAAGTTTTTCCGCAAAAGCAAGCGCTTTTGCGGAAAAACTTGCCAGTCTAGACACAGCCGGGTGGGTATAATTGCATTCATCACATGGTTATGATTATGCTTTATAGGGGGAGTTCACATTACTAAATTAGGGCTTAAAGGGTGACATGATTGATAAGGCTATTTCCATGCTAATTAAAATATAAAGGTGTACCTCTGGTTAATTTGTTGCTCACTCGGATTCCAGGGTTTGGGGGGCTCCGCGGGGAACGAGTATCTGAAATAAAGGAGCTTTTCTACCCCATCCGCTTCTGGTCAGCTGTTCTTTTTAATAGTAGTAATAACAATTTTTAAAGTAGTCCAGAGAAAGAGACTGGAAAATGTCTAACGCACACACGGACATGTTTCCACGGAGAACATTTAAATATGTTTTGCCGTTATCTCCGTGCAAGAAGATACACAATAAATTAACAAATATCTGACCTCCGATGACTGCAGAGGATGGCTGGTCAGAACTTCGTGGTGCAAATAAAGCTACATGCCTCCAGCTCCGGATCCCTGTCTCACAAGCTAAAGTAGAATCACTGTTAGGTGGTTACTGGCCCTGATGTAACGGAGCATTTATGATTCTCTCCAGTAGATGGTAGTGGTACATTGTTCATGCTGCATCTCTATTGCAGATATTTGGAAGAGAGTTTCCAGATTTATCCATTCTCATCCAAACTCACAGACAGAACACCTGGAGAGGCGCCCACGTCTGCTTTCCTACACAATTAGGAGATGCTTTGGTACAGTGCACTCAGCTGGTGTTATCAACAGTTGTGGTTGTCAATGCAAAAGCCAAGGAAATGGTCTTACTGTCTAGTGTAACTGGCAAGAGAAGTCCTCTGGCACCATAAAGACTCACAAAAATATATAGTACCATGAGCTTTTGTGGGTAAGACCCACTTAAATCTTCCTGTTTATACACAGGAGTGTGGTAATTTTGATTCACCATTTGAACAAGGAAGTAGGAGTCAGCTCCAGCTCCCATTTCAGGCTGTACAAATGATTCCTCTGAGCTCATTTTTTGTTTGTTTGTTTGTTTGTTTGGGGGCTTTGCAGGAGGCATTTTAGCCTGGTGAAAGCTGCATGGGAGATTCTGAGCTTGACTGTTTGCTTCCTCTTTCGTTTATCTGACCAGCACACTCATCCCTGCAGTCGGTATTCGGGAACTCAGAAAATAATCATTCATTTCTCAGACTCTCATTCATTTCTCATTTCCCCACTCAGCAGGTTCACCTCAATTCTTCAAGAGCATTCGGCTCACCAGATATTCGGGCTCTCCGGACGGATCAGAGGCAGAGGGCGAGACAGAACTTGTGCATGGCATTTCAGGACAATTGTGGAGAAACCACACAAGGATTTTATTATTTTCAAATTGGATTTTAAGTGACTATAAGGCTGAGGAGAGATGCCAGATTAACAGCCCTGGAGATAGATGCCTTCTGTTTCTCCGCAGAACAGATAGGAAGCAGGCTGCCTCAGAACATATCTATGCTGCATCCTGTCCCTGCATCAATTTGCATCTGACCACCTTTTTGGTCAGAGTGGAGTTTAGAGTCTATGGCCCACTCTTTTCATGGTCAGGCTGCTCAAAACTGCCAACTAACTCGTGACAGTTGTGTAGGTACAGGTTGAACCTCTCTAGTCCGGCACCCTTGGGTGCCAAACTAGAGAGTTTTCTACACCATAGGAGGATAATATTTTTCAGCAGCTTTACCAACACTGCCACTGCTTACTGGGCTCTTAGAGGACATGTGGGGGTCAAATAGAACAAGATAACAGCACAGAACACTGAGAGCCAGGACCAGTGGCTGTCAACAAACTTTATCGGGCTGCTGGACACTTGGCCCACACCCATGATGAGTGGCCATCCTGCCCACTAAAACCATGCTGGACCACAGGTGTTTACAGATCAGAGAGTTCTGGATTAGAGAGGTTCAACCTGTAGGAATTTTCCGTTGTGAATACTGGACTACAAACCTGCCAAGTCATTTCATGCAAGGATCACGGAACCGGACTCGGATGTGAGGGGCCATCAGGATCTGGAATCAGCAACTGGGGCTGGTACACTAGTGTCTCACTTCCCATGACCAGCTGCCAAATATTTGTATTATATTTATTGTTGGTATGACCCGCCAGAGGGCATAGAAGGCCATTGGTGGCATACAGGAGTGTTTCATGCCATGGAGGAGGAGAGCTGCAAAACCCCAGAACAGCTCTCACTGCCTGTGCTGAGACTCGGGCAACAGTTAAGGTGTGTGATGAAAGATAAGCCGTGATGGAAAGCTGTGGAGTGCTAGTGCCTCACTCCTGCAGATAATCTCTCCATCCTCCCCATCCTCCCCCTCCTCCCCATCCTTCTTTCCTGCCTGACGCAGAGGAAGCTGCAGGGTTGAATGGAACCTATCTGAGGTTCCAATTAAATCTTCATGGCAGAGGGGCATTCATATCCTCCCCCAGATACAAGGATAAATTCATTGGGAACAGCAGTTTCAGAACACAGTGCTGCCACTGTCATCGCTAGCAGACTGCTCCACAGACCAAAATGCGCTCTATGGTAAGAGTCCTTTCTTCTCTGGTCAGTGGGAACCAATTTAGATATAAAGGTTGAGTTTAATTATGTTTATTTTAAACTTTCTTTCTTTCTTTCTTTCTTTCTTTCTTTCTTTCTTTCTTTCTTTCTTTCTTTCTTTCTTTCTTTCTTTTTCATTTGTTAGATTCTGTACTTAACATTTGTTTGTTTGTTCCCATTTCCCTTGAGGAAATAACTGAAGGAAATAACCCAAGGTTCTGAGCCAACTACTGATGGGTGGGACCCATCATTCTGGTAAAGAAAAACAATATTGCTCATAAAGAATGAAGTGTAAGGGCAGATGGTTTTGTCCACGATTTCACAAATCAACAGGAGGATGAGGATGAACTCTAGTTCCGATTCAGACCCTCTCTTCTAACCACTTTAGTCTTTGAGGCGACAGCGCTTCTGTTTGCTTGTTTGTTTGTTTGCAAATTAATTGCAGATTTGTAATTCATTTATTCACCTTGGTGGCACAAGCAATCTTTTCTCAAGAGCGTCTTCAGCCCTGCTCTTAATTGTATTTGTTCGGTTTTTAAGTCTTGTGTTTGGCTGTGATGTTTCAATTAGGTGAAATGAAAAGAGGTGTAAAGGAAATGAAAAGCCTTTGAGAAACTTAATTTAATCTCCAAGGAGCAAACGTGGAATGAAAGATGTAGCGATCACTGCGAATGAGCTACCAGCTCAATATTTGCTTAGCGTCTTCTGAAGCCGTACAGAAAAGAAGATTTAAATCAGGGGCGGGGAACCTTTTTTGGGTTGGGGGCCACTGACCCATAGAAAAATCAGTCGGGGGCTGCACACAAGTAAAAAACTCTCTTTGTGGACCCTAAGAAGGAGAAAGACACTCCCCACATTCCCCTCGCACACCAGAGCCTAGGGGGGACTGGGCTGGTAGGTTTTGTGTGTTCTAACCCTGTGGGGAACAGCTGGGGGGCTGGAGCACCATGCTGAGGGGGGAGCCCTGAGCCTCAGGAGCCGGACACAGGGAAGCTGAGGGGCACAGGCCTGAGGTTCTCCACCCTGATTTAAATGACGCCCTGAAGCCAGAATGGTTGATCTAGGAGACTGGTGACAGGAAATAGGGAACTTCAGAGCCATGCTACAGTTTCACAAGCAGCACAGATCCGCAGCCCGGGGAATTACCGTCCCTTGGTAGTAAGCTGGTAGTTTCACTTTAAATCCTAACCAGTGATGCTCACTTCTTAAAAGCAGTGGAGACTGCCTGACCCCCTTCCTGGCCATCTCCGCAGACAAACCCAGGACACTGAGAGAGCATCACCTAGAGAAGATTCCTTAAGAAATGAGGGGGGAAGGGGGAAAGGGGGAGAACGGAGGGACCAGAGAACTTCAGGCTGAGCAAAGACTACTGAACACATTTTTATTGTTCACCAGAATCCAACTGTTATGTTTTACAATTTCTACAGATCACCACCATGTGTATTTTGTGGCATTTAAAAACTATTTTGATCTATTCGATGTTTCCAACTTGCACAAAATTATGTTGTAGCCATATTTTTTTTCTCCAGTTTTTATCTGCTTACTCTTCACAGTTGCAAGGGAGGGGGTCTGATAATTGAAAACAGACATCAAGATTCAAAAAGGGAACGCTTTATAACCATGGACACACAAACTGTCCACATGATATGTCAAAAAGAACCAAATAAAGAACTGAAAAAACGTTAAAAAACCCAACGAATAGTCCAGCAGCACCTTAGAGACTAACAAAAAATGTAGATGGAATCGTGAGCTTTCGTGGGCACAGCCCACTTCTTCAGATCTTCTTTCATCTCTCTACGGTGCTGAAGGACTATTTGTTGTTTTTTAAGTTTTTTCAGTTAGGCTACATCTAGACAGTGGCACTATTTTGGGATACCGGAAGTATCCTGAAATAGCAATTCTGTGTCTTTATATAATATATGTAATATATTTCAAAATAACGGCCGTGCTATTCCAGCATCCCTGTAACCCTCATTCCATGAGGGTTAAGGGACTTGTTGGAGTAGCACTTCATTTCGAAATAAGCCACACAAATTGCGTCACTTATTTCAAGAGAAGGATACAGTGTAGACTCACCCTTAGAGTATGTCTCCACTTGCATCCTCTTTCGAGAGAGGGATGCAAATGAAGACATTTGAAATTGCAAATGAAGCTGGGATTTAAATATCCCGTGCTTCATTTGAATATTCGCATTATGGTGCTATTTCGAAATAGCGCTATTTTGAAATAACAGATGGGCTACGTCTAGACTGGCATGATTTTCCGGAAATGCTTTTAACAGAAAAGTTTTCCATTAAAAGCATTTTCGAAACAGAGCGTCTAGATTGGCACGGACGCTTTTCCGCAAAAGCACTTTTTGAGGAAAAGCGTCCATGGCCAATCTAGACGCGCTTTTCCGCAAAAAAGCCCCTATTGCCATTTTCCTGATCGGGGTTTTTTTTCGGAAAACAAATCTCAGCTGTCTACACTGGCCTTTTGCACAAAAGTTTTGCGCAAAAGAGACTTTTGCCCAAACGGGAGCAGCATAGTATTTCCGCAAGAAGCACTGATTTCTTACAGTAGGAAGTCAGTGCTTTTGCGGAAATTCAAGTGGCCAGTGTAGACAGCTGGCAAGTTTTTCCAGAAAAGCGGCTGATTTTCCGGAAAAACTGGCCAGTTTAGACACGGCCATGCTGTGTAGACGCGGTTATTTTGAAAGAAAACCCTTCTCTCGAAATAACTAGTAAAACTCATTGTATGAGGAATAAAGGTTATTTCAAGAGAAGGATTTTCTCTTGAAATAACCATGTCTTAACAGCATTTGTTATTTCGAAATAGCGCCATAATGTGAATATGCAAATGAAGCACGGGATATTTAAATCCCCACTTCATTTGCAATTTCGAATGTCTTCATTTGCATCCCCCTCTCGAAAGAGGGTTCAAGTGTAGCCATACCCTACAGAGTAACACAGCTATAACCATATAGCACATTCTATAAGTTCTCAAGCAACATTTGTCTGATGTTGCATAACTCTGAATTTGGATTATTATCGATGGAAATATTTTTTTATTGGTTCGTTTGCGTGTGCGGGGAGAAATGGATGTTTAAGGACATAAGAACATAAGAACGGCTGTACTGGGTCTGACCAAAGGTCCTTCTAGCCCAGTAGCCTGTCTGCCGACAGTGTGGACCGAAGACAATGATCAAGCGATTTGTCTCCTGCCATCTCTCTCCAGCCTCTGACAGACAGAGGCCAAGGACACCATTTTATCCCCTGGCTAATAGCCTTTTATGGACCTAACCTCCATGAAATTATCTAGCTTCTCTTTAAACTCTATTATAGTCCTAGCCTTCACAGCCTCCTCTGGCAAGGAGTTCCACAGGTTGACTACACGCTGTGTGAAGAAGAACTTTCTTTTATTAATTTTAAACCTGCTACCCATTTACTGATACAAATCTTTCCAGCCTGTTTAGGGCATGGGCAAAAACCCATTGAAGTCAATGGAAAGATTCCTACTTCCGGCCCTCGGATCAGACCCTATGTATTCTGCAGGGTATTTTGCACAGTGTCTTTCTTAAAGAGTACAGGACGTTGGTAGCCTGGAGAAGTGGGCGGAGCACACAGGAGTGGAAAGACTGAAGCAACCGTACTGGGTTTCCAACAATGCCGCGAGTGGTGGAGTGCGCCCCCTGGAGGTGGCTGAAGGAAGGGAGGGAGTCCCGGAAACTGGTTCTGGTGGTGGTCTTTGTGGCGCTGCTGCTGGACAATATGCTGCTCACAGTGGTGGGTACGTGCAGTCTGGGCGCGGGCGTAGAGGTCAAGGTGTCCTCCGCGACGCGCTGATGGCGTTAAGACTCGGTGCGTCCCCGCGGCAACTGCAGAAACCGGTCACAAGAGAAATGAGTGTGATTGGGCTCCCTGCCAGGCAGCGCTGCAGGTCTGGAGCAAGGTTTGCTGGGAGAGTTGGGTGTAGGCAGTTTGCCCCGGCGCCTATATCCGGCTTGAACTCTTGGCCTTTCATTAATTTCCTTTGCACTCAGAAGAAGTGCTGAACAAAACCCTAAGAGCATAGGAATGGCCAGTCTGGGTCAGACCAAAGGTCCATCCAGTCCAATGTGCTGTCTGCTGACAGTGGCCAGCGCCAGATGCCCCAGAGAGAATGAACAGAACAGGGAACCATCCAATGATCCCTCCCCTGTCACCCATTCCCTGCCTCTGACAGAGGCTAGGGACACCATTCCTACCCAGCCTAATCGCCATCAGCGGACCTAACCTCCATGAATTTATCCAACTCTTTTTTGAACCCTGTTCAAGTCCTAGCCTTCACAACATCCTCTGGCAAGGAGTTCCACAGGTTCACTGTGTGTTGCCTGAAGAAATACTTCCTTTTGTTTGTTTAAAACCTCCGACCTATTAATTTCAAGTGATGACCCCCTAGTTCTTGTGTCGTGGGAACAAGTAAATAACTTTTCCTTATTCACTTTCTCCACACCCGTCATGATTTTAGAGACCTCCATCATATCCCCCCACTTAGTTTTCTCTTTTCTAAGCTGTAAAGTCCCAGTCTTTTTAATCTCTCTTCCTATGGCAGCCGCCCCAAACCTCTCATCATTTTTGTTGCCTTTCCCTCTACATTTCCCAATCCCTCTCTAACTAATCTCCTCCTTTAACGTTCTTCCAGTGCCAATCGTCCCCACTTTCCTATATGCCACAGAATACAAAGGGGCTAACAGCTCTGCTTCCCAGAACTGGATCCTGGCAGCAACACCCAAGGACTTCCCAGCCCCCACCTTTTCCTCCGTGTTCTCTTACTTTGACAACACCACGGTGACCGTCTCAGGCTACGCGGCTGTGGATGCCACAGAGGAGGCGAACGGGACAGAGAGCAGCCACCTGCCTCAGCTCCCTGGGGCCAGCCTGCCTGCAAGGAACAGCTGTGTGGAGGGGGAGGAATTTCTCGCCGAGGAGAACGTCCGGGTGGGGCTGCTTTTTGCCTCCAAGGCCCTGGTGCAACTCACAGTCAACCCCTTTGTGGGACCCCTGACCAACAGGTAGGTCAGCCAGGCTAGAAAAGAGTCTGTGCCCGTAGAATCGTTGAAACTCTCCTTGAGTTCTTGACTGTCCCGTCCTTCTTTAGGATAGGCTACCACATCCCCATGTTCGCTGGATTCGTCATCATGTTCCTCTCTACCGTCAGTGAGTAGTCTCTATCCCCGCCTTTCCTCAGGTCGCACCGGAGCTGGTCGAGTGAACCAGCCACGGATCTCCACGCAGATGGCTTGGGATCCTTTGCCTAGGAGGGTCCTAGTGCTGGAAAGATGGGGAGGGCGGCAGATGGGCCCACTCCCATTCTAGAAACAGAGTGAAATTCAACAGGGTTTGGCCAAATCTGAGCTGGACGCTTGCTGGAGCAGCGTTCCCCCCTTCTTGGGGCTCCTCTGGGGGTCCCCCATCAGCCCGGTTGCCATTTAATGCCTCCAAGCAGGAGGAGAGGTGGATCATGACACACCTGCGAGTGCGTAGCTAAGAAGAGCTGGGCGGGCTGGTTTTAGGGGCGTGGAGCGACCCCCCAAATGCTGACGCTGCCTCCCTGCTTCTCCCTCCCCCAGTGTTTGCGTTCTCGGGTACCTACGCCCTGCTGCTGGTGGCTCGCGCACTGCAGGGCATTGGCTCGTCCTTCTCGTCCGTGGCAGGTGAGTGGATGGGAGGGTGGGAGCAGCAAGCCAGGTCCTAGCCACCAAGGAGCAGCAGCAGCAGCTTCTGGGCACCGGCTGCTTTGTCTGAGCTTTCATGGTCACGGGGTGAAAATCAGCCTGGGAACCCTGACGGTTCAGTTTGCTGAGAATCCTTCCTCCAGCCGAGGCAGCTCTCCCGAGGGCAGGCCCACTGGCGGGCGGGGAGGGGGAAAGGGGACCACTGCCCTTGGGCCTGGCGACTCCAAAGGGCCCGGGGCTCCTGGTGGCGGCGGCTGGTGCACTAGCACTTTAAATTGCCGCCGGAGCCCCACGCTGGTGCACCGGCCCTTTAAATTGCCGCCGGAGCCCCACGCAGCAAGCTCTGGGCAGCACTGAGGGCAGTGGTGTAGTGACCGGGGGGGGAGGGGTGTTGCCCCGGGGGCCACACCAGGGGGGTGCCAATTTAGTCCCTTTGCTCCCCTGTTATCCCTCAGCTCGCCTGCTCCTCCTCCCCCCGCCGCCTGGAGCCTCCTCCCCGCCTCTCTGCCCCCCGCCGACCCTCCTCCATCTCCGCCTCAGGCGCTGCCGTGCGCAGACCCGGAGTCAGATTTCTGACTGTCCGGAGGGAGGGATAAACTGGGGGGGCAGAGTTCAGAGGATCCAGGCTCAGAAGGACCCCTGTGATCTGACCTCCTCCATGCCAGAGGCCAGAGAGCTGCCCCCTCCCCATCCCCCAGAAGTTCCTAGCGCAGCTCGTTCAGGAAGAAACCTCCAATCAGGATTTTAAAATGGACACCGAAGGAGCGTCTGCTGCAAACCTCGGCGTGTTGTCCCCATGGTTAACGAGTCTCCCCATTTTTCCAGTCTGATTTTGTCCAGCTTCCACGTCCCACCATGGGGTCACCTCATCGCTTTCTCTACCACATTGGAGGGCCCACAATGAAATATTTGTTCGCTATGTGGGACCGCATAGACGGGGGGGCCGACAGAATGGCCAGACTCCTGAGCGAATTGGGGGTAGCCGGCTCCAGGCCCCTGGAAGGCTCCTTGCCCCCAGGTCACTGGCCCAGTGGGCTGCCACCCTGCCAGACCAGTTCCGCTCCCAGCCACTGGCATCCTCTGTGACTGGGGATTTCTGCCCCAGGGGCTCTCTTGTTGCTGGACGGGAGAGGTTCAACCTGCATCTCTTTTTCCTCTCTCTTGCCAGGCCTGGGAATGCTGGCAAGCGTGTACACAGATGACTACGAGAGAGGAAATGCCATGGGGGTAGCATTAGGAGGTCTGGCATTGGGGGTGCTCGGTGAGTCCACTTGGCTCTCCAAAGGAGTTGCGATTAACGAGAACTCTCCTCCATCTGCCGCCGTCAGGTGCTGGTTCTCCCAAGCCCTGGACTGCAGCCCCCGTCTTGTCACAGGCAGAACTGGGCTCACTCCGAAAGGGACGGCTGGACTTCCCGCCTGCCCTTCCCAGCGTTTGGAGCCCCATTTCTCTCCTGTCCTCGCTCTCTCGCGCTGGCTGGAAATTGTTCCCAGCAGGCACCTTAGCCCATGAAAATGGCAACTGAGTATAAACGGCTCCTTCCTCTTTCTCCCTGCTGCTTCAGTTCTGCACAGAATGAGAGATGGGCAGAGTTCTGACCAGCGGTGAAAGTAACTTAACATTTCTTACAGGTCCTGTCCTACCGCAACCCGGGTCCTTGCCAGCTCCTTAAATAGCTCCCCGCTGGCTTCTGCAGCTCCTACCAGGGCTGCGCCTCCCCTTTCTTTCACCTCTCGTGCAGACAGAATGCTGGAGCGCTAATGCCGGCTCTGAGTCGACAGAAGACTTTCCATTGCCTTCAGTGAGCGGATGCTCAGCAGGCATACAGACCAACTGGCTGTTGTTCTTTGTGCCAAGGGTGCCAGGACTGGCTGTCCTCAGAGGGTGGGAAGGCAGGTCTCAAACCCTCGACCTCTGGAGGAGCCCCCCAACCTCCCTACATTCTGTGCCCCCCTCATCCTTCCTTTGGAAGGGTGTCCAGCCCCCAGACACCCCCTCTATCCTTCCACTCCCACTCACCGTACTGAACCAGCCTTTTTCTTCCCTCGCAGTGGGAGCCCCCTTTGGAAGCGTGATGTATGAATTTGTTGGGAAGTCCTCCCCCTTTCTGATCCTGGCCATCTTAGCCCTTTTGGATGGAGGTGAGTAACTGCAAAGGCTGACCAGTTTCGGCATCATCGCTCCGAGCATCCGCCTCGGTGAACTCAACCATTCAAGGAAGTGCGGAGAGGCTACATCGCAGACGTTGTAGGGAAGAAAAAGATGCTGGTATCATAATCAATTACGATAGCTGGGTTTTATTGCGCACTCAGACGCTGGCTCTGTTTTCACTGCCTGTCACCCTCTGCCTTGCGTTCCTGATAGAAACCACTTGACTGCTTCACTGGAATAGATAACAGATGCAGGGAAATTTGTGTTAAGAGCTCTATGCCCTGGCTAATCCAGCTTCTCTGCTTAACCGGCACACCTGGTGCTTTCTGCAGCCTGCTCTGAGTTTGCATTTGTGGCATAAAACGGCCCTTCTGACTCGCTTCAGGATGACTGTGGCATATTGCAGGCTAGACTCGTTTCCTCAGTCCATATCATGGCAAAGTTACAAACAATTTAAAGCGGGGTCTTATAGTAGGAACCCTTAACTAGAGACATTGCTAACAGCGCTGTCTAAGGACTTGTCCTCACTGGCACGTTTTGTCACCTAAGCTGCCTCTTGGTGACAAAACAGTGAGAGCGTTTACACTGCCAAGCGACTTTTGTTGGGAAAATCAACCAGTTTTAGTGACAAAAAACTTCCAGTCCTGTGCGAGACTTTTCTCTTTCCCCCTCCCTTTATAGTGGACAAAGAGCCAGTGTGGATTCTGCTGTTTTGTCGGGAGAACTGGCTTCTGTCAGTCTCCCACAAGGCCTGTCTTGTTGGCTCTACTCAGTGCTTTGTGATCTCTGCTGTCCTGCAGGCATGTGCCCCTCCCCTTTCAAAGTTCTGGAAAGTGTCTGGCAGCTGAGTGAGCTGTTCCCTTTGGGGAAAAAAACAATAAACAAATCGCTGAAATGATTCTGTTCTGTTGCTGCCGAGGGAGGGCTGGAGACACAGCTGTGCTCCTTTGACATTCCTCAGCATGGGGCGCTCCCAAAGCTTCCAGGGAATCCTAAGAAGTGTAGGGATCCTCTCTGCCTTCCCACCGCACTGCCTGGTGGGATGCTTCCCCATGATGCTTTGCTCTGTCTGTTGACAGGGGAGCTAGCCATGTAGCCATGAAATGTCAACAATGGGAGGCAGAAACACCAGTTTGATCAGTTTTCACTGTTGGTGACTTTTGCCTGTCGCCAGCACTTTCGTCACCATACCTTCCCGGTGTGGACGTAGCCTTGGTGATTGGCATCGTCAACGATAGCCGTCCATACTGCTCTGCCTATAATGCTGTTTCACTTCATGCTGAGCTAAAATCATTAGCAGCCCCAAATTATCTGGTGGAACAGGAGTAATTGCCTCATTTTGTTATTATTATAAATTGTTGGTATTATTTGTGTTGTATTTGTTGTGCCGAGAGGATCCAGGCCCCTTTACTTTGCAGGGAGAACACGCACTCTGCCCCAAAGAGCTCATCATGCAAGACAGAGGAGTGACATTTTCAAAAGCAGTGAGGCAATGAAAAGCCTACATCCCATTTTCAAAAGGGATTAAGGCAGAGGTGGGCAAATACTGGCCCACAGGTCAGATCCGGTCTGCCAGGGTGAGCACCCGGCGGATCACCATTTCACTGTGTTTACCTGCACAACCGCAGGTGTGTGGATCGCAGCTCCTGTCAGCCATGGATTGCTGTCCCTGGCCAATGGGAGCTGCGGTCGCCCATGTGTGCGGAGGTGCAGGTAAATACCCCGGCAGCAGCCCACCGGGGTTACCCCTGGTGAATCGGCACCGTTCTATTGCCCACCCCTGGATTAAGGGCGTGTCGAAATGGCAAGTCACTGCACAGTAAGACAGGCTGTGACTCTGTAGTACCTCAGCTTGCCACGCAGTGGTGTCCTGCGTGGACACGGATACAGGGCAGTGAAAATCCCGGAGCTGTAGCAGGGACCAGCTGGGACGTAACTCTGTGGCAAGCTGGTGCACTGGAGAATCACACCCTCTGGTTTGCTGCAAAGTGACTGTCATGGCTGCTTTCCTACTCTGGCACAATGAATACAGAAAGTACCTGCTAAAGTACCCCAAAACCTTATCTACCAGGCTTTGGTATTAAACTTCCCCCAAAATTTTAAAACCCTAGATCTTGGGGGATAAAATCCACCACCCAAGTAAGGATAAGAAAATCCGGGGGGGAGATTACTCGGGAAATCTCACCCCTAAAGTACAAACCAGGACACAAAAATTAACCAATGCCAGGTTAATAAAAAGAAAAGTGAAAGAATTTTATTATCACCACAATATTCCCATTGCAAGCATAATGACTAGATGGAAAAGTCACAAAGTAATATACTCATGGGGGGGGACACCATGGGCCAGGAGAGGAAAACCCATTTCTAAATGCACAGACATCAGAACCCATTTTCCAAATCACAAAACAATAAAACCTTATCTGGCCTTAAAACTCCCCCTGACCTCAGAGCGAGTGAAACACCTAAATCCCTTCATACCTCTTACCCTAGGTACTTCCATCCATCGCTTGGGCTGGGCTGTTATTGTGGCTGTCCCACAGATGGCTCTCACCTTAATGAGGGCATCTGTTTCACTGCTCGGGACTTGTAAGGTTGCCAGATACTTTCGCAAAATATCCCGAACATGGCAGGGAAGAAAGTTGGTTGAGCAAAAAAAACCAAAAAACTACGGGACACCAAACTGGTTGAGAAAAAAAAGTCGCTGCACCTTTAAATTCCCCACTCCCTCCGCCCCCCCAACCCCACCAGACACGGCAGGGGAGAAATGTCCCCACTGGCCTTCCATCCGAAAAAACCACGCTGAGTATTCATCTCCGGTATTTTCTCTGGGCGGGCGGGGCTTTGAGCTACTGATGGGGATCTCCGGTAAATAAGAAACACGGGGGACTCGCGGATGGAGACGCCGTAGAAAGGAATAGGCCAATAATGGTATTTTTCCCTTAGCTTTGCAGCTGTGCATCCTGCAGCCCTCTAAGATTTCCCCCGAAGTAAGTACACACCTGTGAGCATGACGGTGCAAACAAAACAGACCTGGACTCCCTGTAGGGGGAGACTGGGACCCTACCAAACTCAGTGATGGCAGCTGGGAATGGTTGTGTGGATGAGGGGTTAGTGCATCTGCCGGTGCATTGAATACAGCACTGGGCTCCGTTCAGATCGCGGGGATGCGCGTGCAGCTCCGGAACGACTCCACTGGTGTCAGGCCTAACGCCCTGCAGCTGACGGCGCGGCTGTTCCCCACGGCAGCTGATGACCCATGGGCCGACTCCCTGCGCTTCAGTGAAAAGAGCCAGAAAGGAGCCTTCCCTTTGAAAGAGGCTCGGTCAGGCCCGCTGACGGGGTGGGGAGGAAAGGGGGCAGTTGTCCCAGGGCCTGGAAATTCAAAGGGGCAGCCAGAACCCCAGACCTTTAAATCGCTACCGGAGCCCCATGCGGTGCATCCCGGGCAGCCCTGAGGGCTGGGGGAGGGGACCCACATGCTCCTGGCAGCGCTGAGTGCTGGCTGCCGTGGCCCCGCCCCTTCCACTCGAAGCCCAACCCCTTCCAATTGATGCCCCGCCCATTCCACCAGGGCCGACTTATCCATTAGCACAGTGCCTAGGGCCCACGAGACTTTTAGGGGCCCATGAAAATGTTTCAATTTCTTTTAAAGTCAGAAGAAAAAAATGAATTTTTAGGGCCCACGAAAATCTATTCAATTTTGCCTAAAACAGAAACAAAATAAAATGGTGAAGTATTTCAAGTTATATCCAAAATCATCTTTAATATTGGTATTATTATGGTGGAAGGAGCCCACGAAGGCAAAAGTGCCTAGGGCCCAGGAAAGTCATAATGCGGCCCCGCCCCTTCCACTCATGGCCCCGCCCCTTCCACTCATGGCCCCGCCCCTTCCACTCATGGCCCCGCCCCTTCCACTCATGGCCCCGCCCCTTCCACTCATGGCCCCGCCCCTTCCACTCATGGCCCCGCCCCTTCCACTCATGGCCCCGCCCCTTCCACTCATGGCCCCGCCCCTTCCACTCATGGCCCCGCCCCTTCCACTCATGGCCCCGCCCCTTCCACTCATGGCCCCGCCCCTTCCACTCATGGCCCCGCCCCTTCCACTCATGGCCCCGCCCCTTCCACTCATGGCCCCGCCCCTTCCACTCATGGCCCCGCCCCTTCCACTCATGGCCCCGCCCCTTCCACTCATGGCCCCGCCCCTTCCACTCATGGCCCCGCCCCTTCCACTCATGGCCCCGCCCCTTCCACTCATGGCCCCGCCCCTTCCACTCATGGCCCCGCCCCTTCCACTCATGGCCCCGCCCCTTCCACTCATGGCCCCGCCCCTTCCACTCATGGCCCCGCCCCTTCCACTCATGGCCCCGCCCCTTCCACTCATGGCCCCGCCCCTTCCACTCATGGCCCCGCCCCTTCTGGGAGAGCAGAGTTGGCCATCCCACTTGGCCAAGGGGTTTGGGGAGGCTGACAGCTCCCCTGTGCTCAGTGCTTAAGGATGACCCATGAGAAACAACATGCTCCCTTTGGAGAGCCGGAGGCAGCTCTGAGCTCACCCCTGCCGGGCTAGCCTCAGCGCCGATTTCACAGGAAGAGAAAGGAGAGGCCGGCTTGGCAAAGCTGGGGTCAGGGTTAGCAAGCCCTTGGGCTGGCTTGCCCCCGGCACCATGGCTAGATGAGACGGCGGGTAGGGGATGAACCCGCCAGCCCCGGCCACAGATCTTCACAGGGCCGCTCAGAAACAACCTGCTGATGGAGCAGGCGCCCGTCGCACTTTCCCCACCGCGGCCCTCGCAGGACAAGGCAAAGCGGCTTCCTGTAGAAGGGCCGGCCGGCCGCAGGCTCTGGGCCCCGTGCACGCGCAGGCTGGCTCCCGCGCTGGACCGGGTGTGTCCTTAGCACGTGGCTTGGCTCACCAGCTTTCCCTGCGGCCCTCCTTGTAACTGTTCCTTCCTTTCCGTGTTCCAGAGCACCAGGGGCACCCCCGTATTCACGCTGCTGCGAGACCCCTACATCCTGATCGCTGCAGGTACGGCGGGATGGCTGCGCCCCTCCCATCGCCCCCTTGTGCTCTGGGCCATTCGCCAGGGCGGGGCTCGGAGCCAGGGGGAAGGGTCCCCAGGTGGGCAGGGACCACGGCGCATTCCCATTGTTTTCGCTCTCCCCAGGTGCCCTCTGCTTTGCCAACATGGGCGTGGCGATGCTGGAGCCCACGTTACCCATCTGGATGATGCAAACCATGTGCTCCCCGAAGTGGCAGCTGGGTAGGTGCCTCGCTCCTCAACCGGCTTAGTGACTGAACGACAATAATAAACCCCGGGCGTGCAAACGACAGCGGAGGAGGCTCGTGGAGAGGGCGGTGAGGGCAGGGCCGGCCTTCCCCAGCCACAGAACACGCAGCTGCGTAGGGCACCTGAACATTTGGGGCACTGCTGGGTCATAATGTCCATCCGCCTGCCTCTTCCTCTTCTGTGGCTCTGCTTCCTCCAAAGAGGAGGTTCGTTTTCTTTCAACTTACAAGTGGCACAGCCGGCCAGAGCTTTTCGCAGACTCTGAACCTGGGAAAGAGCCAGTCACGCGGCAATGAAGCCATTGAACCGGCATTTGCCACCCCCTGTGCATCTCCGAACTGGCTCTGGGAGCCGACAAAACATATTTCATTCCTGTGTTGCTGGAGATGATAAAATCACAGCTCTAAACAATCGTCACCTCCCCTCCCCGCCCGGGGTACCAGTTTAACAGCACAGGTTGGACCTCCCTGGTCTGGCACCCTCAGGACCTGACTGGTCCCAGGTGAGGGATTTTGCTGGACCAGGGAAGCTCCTTTCTGGCCTCACTGCCGCTGTCCCTTCCCCCAGCCCTGGCCTGACCTCCCCAACTTGCTGGCCCCCCATGCCCCGGCCAGCCCCTGCTGCCACACTGGGCAGCCCCACTACCACGTGTGGGGCTCCCACTTCCCTGCCAGCCTGCAGGGCTTGGAGGCGCTGGTCTTCCTCTGGGTGATATACTCTGGGGGTGAGGCAGAAGTGAGGTGACCAAGGACTACATCTGTCCTCAGTGGCAGAGGGTGACGCCATTAAAAGCAGTGGGGTGGTGCTTGCTTACCTCCCTGCCACATTTGGCCCTTTTTGTGACCAGACACACACACAGGGCTTAGCCAGAAGGCCGGTTCCCCTCTGGGCGAGCTTCCCAGCCCAGGTGCCCAGCGCCGTCCTCTCCCAGGGCCACAATATCAACAGGCCCTTGTAAGCCCCAGGTAAAATCGGGCGAGCTGCAGAGCCAGGGGAGGACAGCGTGGCCTGTGCCAATAACTCACTGTCTAGGAAATGCGATAAGGCGGCACCGTTGCCTCCCTTCGGCGCAGCCATGTTATAAAAGCCAACTGGCGGTGGAATGACCTTTGGGGAAGGCTCCGAGCTACACTTACAAGCCAAATTGAATTGCGAGCGGGCAGCAGCAGAGCTAATGAGAGCGGCTAACTGAGTTACTCACGAGTCCAGCAGGAGCATTCATGCAGATAAGGGGCCATGATGTCTTGGTTGGGATGAGTGACCGAGCAGGGGTGGAGGAGGTTTGTGGATAGAGGGGGAAGGGACAGTGCTTGGTGGGGGCAGGAGAAGACATTGAGCAGCTTCGGGGGTTATCCCGGGCCCATTGAAGAGACGTGGAATCTTTCCATGGACATCTGGTCGCGGCCTGACAGAGGAAGAGGCAGAGAGGGGGGAAATGGAGCCCAAGGGGGCTACTAACCTGGGAATGTATGAGAAGAACCCAGATCAAAACCTCAGCTGTCACCATCCCCAGAAATGTTTGACTCCAAGAACAAACTTTCCACCCTGCAGAGGGAGCCAGTAACTCTCATTGATTTCAGTGGGAACAGCTGGTACCCGACAGACAGGGGAAGGTCGAATTAAGAGACACAATTCCAGCTACGTTAATTCCGTAGCCGAGTTGATATACTGTCATTTGAGTTTCCACGCCGTCTCCACAGCGGGAGCTCAACGGGAGCAGACACTCATATCGACTTCCTTTACTTCTTGGGAGGAGCAGGAGAACAGGGAGAGCCCTCTGAGTTCGATTGAGCGGGTCTTTACTAGACCCTCTAAGTCGAACTCTGGAAGATCGACCATGGCAGCATTGATCTTCCGTATAATGAAGATGTAGCTGAAGAATAACCCACTCTTCTTAACAGCATCCATCTTAAAAGCAGCTATAAATGCAGGTGAAATTCTTCATTTGTTTCAATTTGCCTACCCTTGGAGAAATGGGAAAAGCTCAGCCGTCCCCAGCAGGATTAACAACGCTTTATAACCTTTAAAAAGGGGGAAAGGAAATTAAGCGCAAACCAGTGTGCTTTAATAAGGAAGCTGCTTTAATATGCAGGCAAACAGAGCCAATCAAGATTTCGTTATAGTTTGTAGTTGGGTATATTAAAAATAAACAACTGGCAAACCAGCAGGGTGGTCAAATATTTGATTTTAACTAATTATACTCCCCGAGACTTTTCAATAGGCTGTTTTTCTATGCTGTGAGACGAAAGAAGGGGAAAGACAAAGAGAAAGAAAAAAACAGAGCAGAGCAGCAGAATGGTTTTATGGTCAATCTTCCCTCTAATATTTTCCATCCATGTGTGGATTTTTCCATCTGGCTATGTCTAGACTGCAGGTTTCTTTCAGAAGAAGCTTTTCTGGAAGAGATCTTCTAGAAACAACTTCCAAAAGAGAGCGTCTACACAGCAAAAGTGCATCAAAAAAGCAATCTGCTTTTTCGAAAGAGAGCAGCCACATTGAATGGATGCTATCTCACATTTAAGCTGTGATTACTATGGACAGAATGGCCACCAGGGCATCTTTGCTTTTTCCTCTTTCCTCTTCTTTCAAAAGAATTCCCTCTTACTTGTCCACACAAGCTTTTTTCCAAAAGAACTCTTTCGCAAAAAGGCTTCTTCCTCATAGAAAGAGGTTTACCAAGGTCGGAAAAAACCCCCTCTGTTCTTTCGATTGTTTTCAAAAGAACATAATTGCAGTGTGGACCTAAGTGAAGTTTTTTCAGAAGAACGGCAGTTTTTCCAGAAAAAACCTGCAGTGTAGACATGCCTTATGTGGAATAAATTTTGTTGCGTGCACTGAGGCCTGTGTGGATGTGCACCACCCCTAGAAACAAAAACCTACCTGTGGACACTTTGCTAATCATCTGGGTGGCATTTAAATCACTCCTGAGCAGCTACACACACTTACAGGGAATACTGTTTATGGTTAAAGCCACAGAATAGAAGTCACAAGATCTAGATTCAGTTCCTAGTTTTATCCCAGATGCCTCATGTGACCATGGGCAAACCACTTGATGGCTCAGGTTCTCATCTACAGAAAGGGGATAAAGCCCCTGCTTTTCTACTGCCCTGTGTGTGTGATGGCTAGCGAGACTGAGCTCTTTGCGGTAGGGGTTGTGTCACCGTGAGCGCAAGGAGCTTTTGCTATGTAAGCACTGTTGTAATACAGCTACAGTATATAATAAAAAACAATAATAGCAGCAGAAAAGAGAAGCCATTGACTAATAGAGCTAATATACATTATGCTTGGGGACTCTGTGTTGGATATTCCTGTCCAACCTCTCCTGGCTCACGTAGCCAATGGCAGGCGTTATTCGACTGATTGCAAGACTGGAGCAGACTCCGACTCTGCAGACTGCATCTTGAGCTCGTCTGTGTCTTTGCAAAGAGCTTATTAGTTTAATAGGGATCTGCATCTTTGCAAATTACTTACAGCATTTGAGGCCCCTCACTGGGAATACAAGGCCCAGATCCACCACCTGCAACCTGTAGCAAAGACAAGAAATAGGAGCATTTGATTATGAGCCTTCTAGCATCTCATGGGCTTGAGTCCTGAACTTTGGGACGCAGGGGAAAACTGATGATCGCATTTGAAACTGGAGCTCTTCTTTTTCAGGGATGGCGTTCCTGCCTGCCAGCGTATCGTACCTCATTGGCACCAACCTCTTCGGGGTGCTGGCTCACAAAATGGGGCGGTAAGTGGAACTTAGTGGCTTTCGCAACCTTCGTATTCTTTCCAGCTGTCTTCAGATTGCTCGGCTGCTTATTTGTAATGAGAAAGTGACTCCGCTCGGCGGAAAGCCTGTCCCACATTTCAGGGTGGTAGGGAGGAAGGGTAGCTCAGTGGAATTAAAGGGCAGCAAATGTAGGAGCAAAGCAAAGGCTATTTCACGCAGAGTGAAATTGACCTACGGAACTCACCGCGGCAGGAGGCTATCGAGCTAAATACTGTCAAGGTTTCTCAGAGGGGTTGACAATCAGTAATAATATTTGCGGCTTTGTAGGATACGATAAGGGGATCAAATTTCATGCTTCTGGATGTAAACTGCCTAGGTCAGGAAGTAAATGTTTCCCCTAGTTGCGCAGTTGGTGCTCTGTTAGATGGAAGGACCAGTGATCCAGTATGACAATTCCTGCACCTTGGAGGCTTTCCACGCGCCATGGTTTTCCTATCTCCTTTCTCACGGCAGGTGGCTGTGCTCCCTGATTGGAATGGTCGTGGTGGGGGTGAGTCTCCTGTGTGTAAGTATCGCAAGACGCTCTGAGACGTCTCTGCAGAGCTGTCAGCGGCCAGGCAGGCGGCGGAAAACGTCCCTCCCCGGCCTTCCAGCTCTGCACGCCGGGGTGACGCTGGAGCCCCCGAGGTGTATGAGGGCTCCCTGCACTGCCCCTGCCCTGAGCGCTAGTCCCGCACCCCCATTGGCTGGGAACCTGCAGCCGGCTGCTTCTGGGGTCAGCGGTACTAGGAGAGGCAGG